AATAAATTACTAGCATCTAATATATATATACATATGTATGTATATGTACATACGCTATATATAGGAAATAAACATAATAAATAGTAATTAAATCAAAGCTGCAATTTTTTTATAAAAATAAAAATAATGATTTTCTTTTACGCGTAATTTGACTAAAGATCAGGCAGTGTCTGATTTTATGATCATATTAATTATTCGTACATTTTTTAACTTTTTATTACGGAAATTTTTGTCTAAGTCTTTACTTTCTTAATAAAGAAATATAAAATTTTATTTAAGTACTTCGGTATTGTTTACTATTTTCGAACGATAAAAATCATTTTCAGTATTGAAAACAAATGATTTTTCCTGGTCTTAACCAACAGTATAATTGATACAGGCACAATAAAAATTGAACTATGAAAAATTCTAAATGATAATTGAATGAAATTAAAACCTTAAAATCATTTTAATAATTAAATGAAACGAATTTACTCTAAATAAACAAAATTAATTGCGACTTTGTATAATGTTTCATAAGTAAAAAAATGCAGCATGAATGCTATCATTGTAATAATAGTATAAAAAGTTAATTAACAAATTTAAAAAAAAATGTAAATATACTACATAAAAAATATTTGTAGTTACATAATATACATAAAATGTAATGTTGTAATAAACTAAATGGAGCAATGGTCCCGAAATTGTTACTATGTGAAATTGGAAATTGGTAACCCACGAACGAATTAATCAAGTTTCAGTCGTTTACGAACCTTATTTTCGTTGATAAGATGTTTCGTACATCCTATATCAAAGTGATAATTATGTCCAATACATGCTGGTGTAATAGATAGACTATATATAAAAACCATTCACTCTTATACATGTGTACGTTTTTTTCCACAAATGTATCAAATGGTGAGGACAGAAAAAGAAGAAATTAATCACCTAGAGAACAACGTCGGGCAGGGAGCAATGCCACTAGGCTAATTGCGTCCCACTTCGTCCACCATGATGTCCCATACCAATCATAGAACCACCGCCGCCGCCGCCGATATCATCGCGAACGATTTTTCTTTCTTTATAGTAAATTTCTTCGCTTTCCTTATCGCATAGTAACAACACTGCTCCACCAAACAAAAATATAGCTGCACCCCAACCCACTCCATATGCCCAACCAAATTCCCACATTGGTCGGTTTCCTATTATATGAAGCGTTTAAAAAAATAAAATTGTTTGTTTGGAATTGAAAAAGTTTGGAAGAAAAATGAAGTTTAAAATATAGAGATATACAAACTTACCAAAATTAAGTTCTGCGGCAAAACACACTGGGTATATTACTAGAGCTATTAGAAGTGATATCACTAAAAGACAAAAGAAATGCACATGTATTTTACAACAATATGTTTACATAAATATACATACATTGTTGTCTTAAGTAATGAACCTTACATGCAAATCCCATGCAGAAAACTGCAAATCTATAATATTTGTGTTTGTCACGATTATCTTGTGACCTCAAACCAAGACCAGTCAAGATTGTTGCTGCAATATCTGTTATTAGACATACAACACATAAGGCAGCAGCTGCTTTTATATAAGCTGCAAAGAAAGGAGATGTAAATTAAAACTTTTTACTTGAAAAAACTTCATTAAAAATAATTTTTTTTTTCAACATACCAACATCCCTAGCTTGAAAACAGCCTGCTGAATCTGGTACGTTAAATGGTAAAGGTGTAGGTGCTGCTTCTTCAATGCAATGTGCAAATAGACCTTGTCTCCATCCTAATGCCATTAACCAGTCTGTAGAGGCTAAGCCCATTATCATCAATAATATTACTATTATTCCACATATGAATGCTATCACCTGCAATATAAATGCATAGTTAACATAAATGACATAAGTACCAAATTCTATTTTCATTATTAACTACAGCTTAATTTGGAAAATTATATTTTCATTACAAACTTCATTACAGAATTTTAATTCTTATAAACTATTAATTCCTATAAATGTTTTATTAATTGAACGGATGTCAATGTTCTGAGCTTCTTGGAAACTAAAATTAATAGAACAAATGACTTTTATATGTTTATTTACTACTAAAGAGATAAAAAATTATAAATTTCAATATAAATGTTGAGAAATTGAACAATTTTTGAATGTCAATTATCTCCTTTGTAAATGGCAATTATTAAATATAATATATAGGAATATAGGAATTTATTCAAATTAAAGTGACTCATAAGAGTATTTGGATTATATTAATTCCAAAATGTTTCACATAACACAAGCAATACATTCATAAAAGATTATTGCATACTTAAATAGTTTGGTAAACTATTGTATATAAACAGTTGATCATTGCGCAAGATGTTCATTACCACCTCTACAGATTCACATAAAAAAGAAACATATCCAGGATGTACCTGTGCGATTTCAGTATCGCCCATGTGATCTTCCGCGACTGTATACATGATCATCGTAGATCCAGCATACACTGTTAAGATTAATCCCAGCAGACAAAGCCGAAAAACCTAGTACCTAATTAAAGAGGTCTCGAACTCTTCACACTTCTTTTGATTTCTTCAACAAATACCATTTACGGGACATCGTACAGTCTTCCGAGCATCACCCTCAATAGACGCCGAGGAAACATTTAGAAACGATTCAAGAAAACATGGAACTGTTCCAAACGACGAACACCAGGGTAAACACAGCTCGCGTTTCTCGTACACGTATATATTTTTGTTCGATACAAATAATTTTTTTAATTAAGTTCCCGCTTCGAACGTCACGCAATTTATCGAATTATACTTTGCTGATTTATTCACCAAACCATGTATCGGTTTATTCACTGTAGAAAAATTGAGAAAATATCGTTCAGCTAGAAGGATCAAGCGGAGACGGTTTCTATCCGAAGTTGAGGGAGTAATTGGGTTCCAGGGAAGCTGCGCCCATTAAAGGTCGTGGCGCAGTGCGCGTACGTGATAGAGGGTGCTTTTTAGTATAGACTATAGACGAAACTTGAGACGCACGCTTCCATTTATAGGAATTTTCTAATCACACAACTATATAAATAATACAATTGTTTCAGTTGAATATCAATGCATTGACATTCTGATTTAACGTTATTATTAATGTACATTTTATAACAACGAAATTATAGTCGTGACAGGAGTAATCGTTTAGTTAATATTGATTTCATTTTCAATCGAATTCCGTTCAAGATATTTATTTTAATAATATTTACTGCTTTGTAACAATATACTAGTGATTACGTGTGGTTTGGGACTTTGTAACATAATTTCATGTAATGAATAATAAAATGAAAAATAAATAGAATGTTTAAAACTTACCTTGAAGGGTCTAGTAATAGTGATTGTTTCAATGGTGGTTGTTTGTGCCATTCTGTTTATGCCTATAAATGTATCTGAAAATAAAATAGATACGTAATAACAAACTAAAATAAAAAATGCTATCGATGAAATAAAATCATGATTAATGTAATTAAATGAAAATAATAATTCTATAGAAAGAAATTGATAATCATTGATGATGATGATCATGTTAGTTTATATAGACAAAGTATAGGTTATTTTGTTTATTTAGTTTGTATTTATTTTTTACAAATAATAAATTTGTATAAATACAAAGGTTGCTTTATAAGATCATTTTGTATAATATTACTTTTATAAATTTTGAGATTTTATCAAATAACGTTAATACACAAGATATGATATTTCAATCATTATGAACTTTTTAACATTTAACAATGCAACATGAACCAAATAAACAAATAAAGATTATGATGAATTTCAGAAATAAAGAATATATACTGAACAAACTTAATCACATGAGATATACATTATCGGATTGTTTATAGCTAACATACTTCAAAAGTCATTAACCTTATAAAAGTCAGCCATTTGCCGTTATAGGAGCTGCATAATTTTTTTAATAAACTTTCAAGGAACACAATACCATAAATCAAGATAGAACTTTTAACTACCTTCTTCATAGCAAATGAAAGATAAATATTTTATCTGAAGCTTTCAGAAACTCATATTGTGATGAAAATTTTAAATGACATTTTCTCACTGCTAACATTTGGATAATTAATAATTTTTCAACTTTAAGCTTCGTATCTTTTAATAATAATTATCTGAAAAATGTACTTTTCTCAATTGAGTCACTCTTCTGAGCAATAGACAATATAATCAAGATTTATAACACTTTATCAAAACGTCTCCAACGTGAATGTATCATTAATAGGATATCAAGTGAAAAATAATTTTTCATCTTCAACAAAATAAAACACTTACAAAAACTGGTTAATATATGCACTTTATACGCTTATCAATCTGTGTGTACACATCGAGCACGTAATAATAACAGGGACGAATAGATTTCGGTATCTCTGAAAAAAATCGTGAATAAATGTAAAGCCAGAATTATACAAAGGATAAAAACAATAATCCAATTCGACTTTAGGGGTTATGTCACTAGAAATGTCAACACAGGCCTCGACAATACGTACGCTATATGCTCGCGTATTGCTGACATATATCTACACACCGAAGAAACAGTAAAATCTCAATGAATTAATCACTTAGAAAGCACATAAAGGACGAACACTCTCATTGGCCCTCTTTCTGTCATAGTTTGTAAGCTCGACACTGATTGGCATTTTCATCCATTTTCTTGTTCAATTGCTCTATTCTCGAATATATTTCAGCCAATAGGAAAAGTGATTTCAAAGTAGAATGAAAGGAGAATAGGAAAAATGATTTCAAAGTAGGATAAAATTTTTATATTTATTCTTTTTATTCTAAATTCTATATACATAAAAATATATTGCTTCGTGGGAAAAAGGTTTTGTTACGCATTGTTTTCGTAATTATTACATTTCTTAAATGGCAGCCATTATCTCATGATTTGATTCGAATCTGAATAAATAAATATAGAGATAATCTTTTAAATATAAGTTACTTTTATCAATAATCTGAAACAAAGCAATGAATTTTCAATGCATTACATATATATATATATATATATATATATATATATGTATATGTTATATATTATATATATAATATAAAAGAAAATATCAGATAATATTTTATTTAACGATAATATAATAACAATAATGTAACAATAATTATATATGTATAAACTGCAAATTGACAATGAATAAAACTCACACACAAGAAAACTTTCAATTATAGTATATATCCAACACATTGTATTGCAATAATGTTGTAATACAATAATATAATATTTAGTAATGTATGCATAGCTTTATATACGTTATATACGTTAACGAATTAATAAATAAAAATAATATCTATAAATATGAATTATTATATTATAATATTTACTTACTTGCTTACATTAGTCTATTATTATATTATAATGTTTACTTATTACTTACATTACTCTATTCGTTTGCTAAATAAAGAATTTAAATAATTTAATGTAGAAAAAAAATTGCAAAAAATTCACCATAAATTCAACTCACAGTTGCGTACATTAAACGTGCATCTTTCTAAATATGTCGATGACGTCACTGAATGACGT